TTTTTTTTTTTTTTTTAGTTATATTAGAAATAAAATATTTTTGTATTTTTATATTTGAATTATTTTAAGATAGATATTGAAGTAAAATAGTAGATATTTCATTTCACTTGAAACTTACTTATTTCAAAATTCCTTTCAAATATTACAAAGAAATTTATCATGATACATACCCGTAACATACGATGTAGAAGAAGATAATGTAGTATGAAAATAATGGGAATAAAATTAAAGAGAGTGCAGCATATTTTAATTCACTTCACACATATTTTATTAATTTTGTAATTTTCAAAGGAGAATAAAAAGTTAATGCGTAAAACACTGGATACGTGATAGGATTACTTCAGAACTTCGTCATTAAGACTCTGAAACTATGACGGTCTGTACACTGACACGATGGTTTAATTATAGGAACAGTACAGTTACGTAGACGTTACTATTTCTGACAAAACTCTATAAGAGATTATTATTATCATACATATACATATAATTTATTATCTACTAGCTTATACAAAAAAGATTAAAATCGAGGTAGTGCATGTTATTTCTTTTCTGTGAATATTAAATATTTTTGAAAGAATACATTGTGAAAAATGTTATTTGTTACATCTTTTTATTTACGATAAAATTAGCACCTTCGGATATTAATTTTAAAAATAATTTTTAAATATTTAAAATATTTATATTGTATTTACAAAAGTTTGTAATAGATAATTATAATTGTATCATAAGTATATTATACGATATTACACTTGTAGAATGTGCTCCTATTGATTAAACAAAAATATATAAAAAGTATTTATAACAAAACAATATAGAAAAATAATTTCATTAACTTAATATAAAATGGTAGAATACAACAATTATATATACAAATATTAATATGTATAACTTTTTTTCTATTATTGTGCTAATCATTCTTCGATAGCGTAACATTAAAAGCCTCTTTTAAGAATCATCTAAATAATCGTACATTCTATTTATAACAAATATAAATACATATTATGGATCACTGTATACATAGCCTCTTATTGATTAATTCTTGCGAAAAGTTTAATATTCATTTAATTGTACTTCACTTAAATTATAGCATAAAGAATAGCGTTATTATTAATGTACTTCAATCGCATATATAATATATACACATATCTGATCATGACCGTCGTATGATTAATTATATTTTGGTCATGCGTAATCATTTTTCGTTACTTCAATTTATAAAGATACGTAAAATTAGAAACGAATGGTCACGATCAGAGAAGAATACGTAATAGCTGTTAAAATAGAATCACCAATAAAATCTCTTCGCTTACATTTAATTTTAGTAAAAAATATATATGAAGTAAAAGTGGAAAAATCTATTCTATCTTTATACAGCACTTATACTTCTAGATAGTACTGTATTATTAAATTTTTTATTTCTTCAAAACCTATGAAATATGTCAAAAATTATGAAATAAACGAATACACTTTTATATCGAATTGTTAGCATTTTTACTTGCAATTTATTTAAGATTTCATAAATGACTTTCATAAATTTGCAATTTTAATTTACATATTGGACATAATCATAAATGTCAACAATTAAAAAAAATATAGTATTAAAGTATAAATAATTTGAAATCTTTATTACTTATTAAATTTACTTTTATATAGTTAAAAAGAAAACAAACTTTTTATAATAACAATAAAGAAAAATATAACATGTCTAACTGTTAAATTTAAGAAACAATGAAAATAAAATTGAATAAAAATTCTAAAAGTTAAATATGATAATAATATAATACTTTAATAGTTAGAATTTCTTTTGGAAGGCAAGAGTTCAAATGAACTATTATGGATAATCATTTTATAAAAATTACAGATAAATAAATCGTATAAACTTCTTTTGATAATGGACATTTTACTAACTATAATAATTTGACTTCCAAAAATAAATACTTATTAATTTGTTTTGTTATTTAAATAGTATAAAGAGAATTGTCACATAAAATTAATATTCTCAAAAGTCTATTATCAAGAAATATAAAACTGAAGCAACTTATGAATTGGTTAGTGCTCCTTTTTTGTGCTATTCTTTACTCTGCCGTTTAAATTGCGCCATGATTTACGGAAGCAAATTGAGGATCGAACCAAATGCCATATATCTTTTCCTGTACATGCTAGATTACAAATGATTAGAGACGGAGATTCATACTCATTTGGAACGATACCATCGACAGAAGATTCAAAAAAACTAAATAATGGAAACCAAATTCTAGTTCTATTTGAATCACGTTGCATCAATGCTTGATTATTTGCTAGAGTATGATAATAAAGAAACAATCGTGATGTGATATAGAAAGCTACAAAAACATCGATGGAATAATGTTCGTGTGCTGCTAAGATAAAAAATATACCAAACATATTGAGCATCCATGTAAAGGTATGTAAGAAATACAATTGTCGTGGGGTATCTGGAAAATAAAAAATAAAATATTATAATATATATATTATATTATATATTATCCATAATCTATTTGTTTAAATACATACTAATACTTACATTCTGTAATGAAAAAATTTAACATAGTTAAGGCGACAGTATGTCCACTAAACATATAATCACCACAGGTCCTAACACCTTGAATCGACATACCAGCACCACGCCATATGACATAAGCCATAGCAATCTTATTGTATAACTCTACGTATGCAGAACTATAAAATAAAAATAATATTAATACAATTGATTTTCATATTGCCTATTTTAAACAATAAAATATTTGTACTTTGTCCAATCTTCGGGAACCTTCCGTGGTTGACATTGCAAATGTGCGCCTGGTACTGACAAGGAAGTAATAAGCATTGTAACGCATCTTAACAGGAAGACTGTACCAGATAAAGCAAAAAATCTTCGTAATAAAATAAATCTGCATTAACAAAAATTTATTAAATATTTTTGAAAAGATCAATTTTACGAATTAATTAATTTCAAATAGTAATAACATTTATTATACGTTTTTACCTATATTTGTGAAAAATTAGTACAATGAGCCATATTGCAAAAAGTATAGTTCCAGTAACTTCACACATATCAAATGCCCAAGGAATATGTGGAACATTATCTAAAAATATATCAGGTAACGGAGGATATTTTTTCATATCAGGCACTCTATCATGAACAATGACCATCACAAAGGCAGTAATCCATGTAACAATAAATAAATATGCCAAACTAATGAAAGCTTTCCAAATTTCAGGTGGCAAATGTGATGCATGACCATCTTCTGATACAGATGCTGAATAAAATTCATGTTCAATAGAACCTTCATTGTTTGTACCACTACTAGGCATCTGTTTATTAGAAAAAAAAATAAATTTTTGGTTTTAGTTACTGTCAACAAAACTAATATTATTTTATTATCACATTTCATATATTTAAAAAATATATATATAAAATTTTAAATATTAAATATTTAAAACTTTCCTTCTTACTTCATGTTTATGGTGACTATAAAAATTTGATGGAGGAAATATATCAATATATCCTAATTCAAATAATACTGCCATATTATCCCTTTGTAATTGTTTTATATTAATATATAATCTTTTCATATCACCAATTGTCTGTAAGTTTCTGGATATTAACTTTAAATCATCTTCTTTTAAAGTTAAGAGCACCTTTCCATCAATTTCCTGATCAAGAAATGAACCGATAAATTTTTCATGTCCAGTTTCGCTAAGCCATCTTGTCACATCTTTTTGCGTCCATTCAATTATACTTTTCTCAGACATTGTTGATTTCAATACAAAGATGTATTAATCCTATAAAAAAGATCTATTAACAATTTAAAAAAGATCTATCAACAATTTATATTACAATCATCTATTAAATCTAAAATCATTAATAAACATGTGTCAAAGTAATATATACATTTCATCAAAATAAAATATAAAATCAAGTATAAAATATAATGTTTCAAAAACATTAAAAAAAAGGAAATTTTCGATCAAATATAATTCGAGCAATATAAATGATAAAAATAGCTTTGATATGGTAATAAGCATATTAACGATAATAAAATTATTGAAAAAATAATATATTATAACGAAAAAATATATTTCTCTGTGATTTCTTATTACAAAATTTATTGTATTTTACTATGCATAATTGATAACCACTTACATTTTAAAATGTATTTAACCTAACCATTAAATATGACATACCTTAGAAATTTAATATAAGAGTTATCAAAGCTAAATATCACAATTTTTTCGTGCGTTTATACATAATTAATATATATCATAAATATTATAGTCTTATTGTCAAACGAAACCATACATTGGCAGTATTTGTAAATAAACCAATCCAAACAGAACCATTAATCAGAGTGTTACAAGCACAGTTGGACACATTCATCAACTTAGGCATTAGAGTATAGTATACATACATATCTCGGCAAACATAGTAAATTCATATAATTTCAATTTTAAATTATATCAGTTGATAATTGATATTAATAAATTAGCTCGAGTAATAAGGAAAATTTTTTATAAAACAAATCTAAATATAACAGAAATAAATCAAAATAATTTTAAAATAAAATGTTTAACAAAATTAGAAAAATTTCATTCGTAAAATTCATTTAATACGTTGATTTTCAATTATATAACAGTGACTTTTCATTTTCGAATTATGTATAAATAATTTATAAATTAATATTATTAAAATATTTAGTATATATTTACACGTGATTTCTCCACGTGATATTGTAGTTAATAATATATATTTTTATTTTATTTTTAAGTTCATATTTACAAGAACATATATATATTTATTTATTTATTTATTTATTTATTTATATATAAGACAAAAGAATTAGCGGTTCTCTATTCGTAAATTTATATTTATAAAATCGATATATTTATCGATTTTGATATCGATTCAAGATTTGTTTACAGTTAATATTTGCATGACGTTGGCATTAGTGACGTTGTTCACGGTCAGAGTGCAACAAAATTGCAAAACTACGCGATGGCGTATTCTAAGTTCATTTAGAGATAGCAAAGCAATTTGCAGCTTTACAGTGCGGACGACATATCGTTTATTAACAAATTTTATCGTTTTTGTTTTTGAAAGTATTTCTTAACCTTTTTATTAGATTCGTATAAACGTAATTAACACCGCCAATTGCACGTCAGACCTAAACTAATAACATTCGGTGCTGAGTTGGCAGTCTTGACGACGACAACTCCGTAACTGTACTGTATAGTGAATGGTACCGTGAATTTAAAGTGGTATTTAGTAATGAATGTACTTAAATATTATACTTAAAGATTATTACTTAATGAGCTATGAGCGGCCAAAAATTTCAATACGACGAAAGTGGTGGGACATTTTTCTACTTTTTGCTATCATTTTCGGCACTTCTTCAAATACCTGTGACATATTATTTCTGGCCACGTTGCCCTAAACAAGGTTAGTTTTAGACGAATCTATTTAGATTAATATAAAAAATAAATGATACTGCAACAACGTTCTATGTTAGTGCATATTTTTTTTTAAATCATAATTGATTTATATAAGTTTACATTATGTTTTACACTCACTCTTTTTATTGTTTGATTTAATTCATAATATTGTTGAAAAAGATTAATCAGAACTTAATTGCGAATATTGCATTAATTTTCATTAATTTTTTAATAACTTCAATAACAAAGTGCAATATTTATTAATTTGTTGATTTTCTGCTTAGTATTTAGTAATTTTTATAGAAAAAAAGTCATTTAAATATTCAATAATCATTTAAATATTTTGTTGATTTTAAAAGCAAATAATATTCAAATAAAAAATTATGTAGATAAATTATTATAATTTATAACAATTGTTATAATTACATTGTTTTTATCCTTAACAATTTCAGATAAATTGTTATGTTATTTTAAATAAATTTTCGTTATATAAAATTTTATAAATATTCTTTTCTCAATGATGTAAAAACTTAATATTAAAGAAAATTAAATTTTTTTTCGTGTAACTGATTATGTATTATTGTGGTATGATTAATATTCCACATTATTATTAATATAAATAGATCCAGATCAAGAGGCAAAAGAGTGTCAATGTGATGGATGTAAAAAGAAGAAAATTATCCTACGACTTAATAAACCATGGAAAGAAACCAAAGCATTATTTGAGTAATTATGTTTAAGTATTAAAGATATATTTTACTTTTATGTTTAAGTATTAAAGATATATTTTATTTTACTTTATAACTTACTATATAAATTTTAGATTTTTAAAAAATGTTATATGTTTATTTCATTGTAGCAAATTTCTTATCATTCTTGGATGGGTAGTTCTTATTTTTTTGACATATAAGGTATCGCAATTTGATTATGAAATGGCTAATTTTGATCCATTTGAAATACTTGGCGTTTCTTCTGTAAGTACAATTAATTCAATTAAAAATATATGCTTTAGCTATTCAAGACATGTAATATTATTATTATTTATAGAGTTCATCTCAAAGCGACATTAAGAAAGCATATCGCAAATTATCTTTAATTCTTCATCCTGATAAAGAAACTGGAAATGAAAAAGCTTTTATGAGATTAACTAAAGGTTAAGATAAACATAAAATGATAAAAAATTATGTGATTAATCTCTTAAATGAATAGCAAATTAATGAATTGCAAAAGTAAATGGAATGATTTAAAAAATACTTACTTTCTCTTTATTATTATTGTTGTTGTATTACTACTATTATTGTTATTATCATTAATTAATTGAGAAAATATCTAAGGCAAGAAGAGTAAAGATGAGAAATAAATAATAATTTTTTAATTTAAAAAAGAATCTAAAATGATATTTTGAATATTTGATTTTAACATATGTCCATTTTATTATAATGAAATTCAGTTTATCTATATGTTTGCGAATATAGAATACATAATTTGATTGTGCAATCTTTTCAATAATATATTTTCCCATTGATTCGTTTTTATTGATTCGTTGTCATCTTTTTTGGTATCAATTGCATGTAATGTAGCACCAATATAGCTTCTTTTCTTCATTTGGAAGATCATTTTTTTCTTTTATAAAATTTCTTTTCATTTTTTAAAATCATCTCTGGAAAATGATGTACAGTACTAACAAGAGAAATTTATTCATCATCCATATATAAGCAGATAATTATCATTGTTACAAATTAATCACTTAAGGGATTAATAGTAATGCAATAATATAATATAAAATAAAAATAATAAAATATATTATAAAAATGGTATTAAAAAGAAAATGTTTATTTTGATATACACAAATAGCTTATCAAGCCTTAACGGATGAAGAAGCACGGAAAAATTGGGAAAAATATGGAAATCCAGATGGCCCAGGAGCAATGAGTTTTGGGATTGCTTTACCTTCTTGGATAGTTGAAAAAGAAAATTCAGTTTGGGTTTTAGGATTCTATTCACTGGTTTTCATGTTTGTTTTACCAACAGCTGTCGGCATGTGGTGGTATAAAAGTATTCGTTATACTGGTGATCAAGTAAATACATCTAATTTACAATACATGTACCATTAAATATTAATCAAATGAATATTAATAAAGCCTAATCTTTCATTGGTTTTTAGGTATTGTTAGCAACTACTCAATTATATTATATTTTTTTCATTAAATATCCTTCAATGTCATTAAAAAGAGTTATTATGATTCTTGCTGCTTCGTTTGAATTTCATAAGAAACGAAATGCAGAAATAGTTGAGAGGTATACAGATAGTGAAGAGGTTTATTCGGTAAGATATATACTATGTTTTAGTCATTTTTACAATTATAATTATAATTCAATTCGTTTTATTGTAATGTACGATTTTTTTGTTAGGTTTAATACAATTTTATACTAGAAGTAAAACAAGTGGCATATGGCTTTTATTGTTTACTTTGAAATTAAAAATTTCTTTGTCTGAAGAAATTGATAGCTTAAGGTAATTCTAGATTTTGTATTTTTTTTTTTTTTTTATTTTCAGCTTATTAAGCAGCTACCAGATATAGGTGCAAAAAACAAGGCAACACCATTATGTGACTCGTATTCAATTAAAGCTAGAGCTTTAATTCATGCACATTTATCTCGTATATCATTAAATCCAGAAACATTAGAAAAAGATAGACAATATATAGTAAAAAAATGTCCATATTTAATTCAAGAAATGGTAACTTGTGTTAATCGAGTGATTTTATTAGCTTATGCTAGAAGAGGTATATATGTATGCTATAAATTATAAGTTAGGTTTACTTATCCTACATTTTATAATAGCAATGCATGTTTAAAAATTATAATTTGATCAATATTTCATTATAGTTCCACGTTTACCAACTATAAAAACTGTAGAAAATTGTATGAAATTATGTGCAATGATAGTGCAAGGCTTTTGGGAATTTAAAAATCCTCTTTTACAATTGCCGCATATAACTGAAGATAATTTAAAATGTTTCTTACCAAAAAAGGTATCATTCATTTATCTTACTATTTAAAATACTTTAATTTAATGTAGAATAATTATATTTTATTATAATTAAAAATTAATTGAACTTGTATTATCAGCATCAAATCAAAAGTCTTCAACAATTTGCACAATTAAAAGGAGACGAGAGAAGACTGATTCTTAGACATTTATCAGATAGTCAATATGAAGATGTAATGAAAGTTCTTGGAAGTATGCCATATATAGAATTTAAAGTACGATCTGAAGGTAAAAGTTATTTAATATTTCCTATACTTATATATTTATTATATATTATATATGTATATAATGTATATAATGTATATAATGTATACATTTAATAATGAAATGAAATATATTTTACAGTAATTGATGATGAAAATCCAACTGTTTATACTGCTGGTGCTATTGTGACTGTAACAGTATCATTAACTCGTAAAGATATGAAACATTTATTTGGAGATGATTCTATTAAAGAACAAACAATGATTGATGACAGCAAAATAAACAATGAAGCTCCTGATGAAGTATCAGAAGAACAGAACCAGTCTGTAAAGAAGCCAGCATGGCTTAGACAAAAAAAAGGTCAAAAAAAATCTCACAAGAAAGGTACTAGTAAAAAATTTGCTTCTACAAAAAATGCTCAGACTCAACTTCAGTCTAGCAATAATGCTCAACAAACGAATACTTCTAATGCAAAAAAGAAAGAAGATAAGATAGAAAAAGAGTCTTCCAAAGATAAATTATCTGATGTCAGCGATAGTGACGTTGATAGTGACAGAAGTAATGACGAAGATAATCATGAAAAGAAAGATGTATCCATAGATGATGATGATACAGAATGGGAGAGGTAAAATATTTTCTTGATAATAATTTATTCCAGAATATGTGGGCGTAAAGTCACTGCTCAATTTAGGATATTAAAATAAGAAAAAAAGATAAACATATGCGCGATACAATCTTGTTTTCAGTCATTTTTATATTGTATTTGTTGTTTACATATCTTTACAGAAATTGTTCATTAACCACTTTGAAGTACATTTTCCACTTTTGATTTAAATACAAGCTTCTATATAGATGTCTCACTATTGACATTTTAACTTGTTCTTGTTGTTTTAAATGTTTTTACATTTTTATAATCTGTTACTATTATTAATATTATAAAATGTAAAGTTTAACAAGATTCTATCAAGTACTTGATATATGTACTGCGATTTAGAAACATTACGAGAGAACTTTTATACAATTTTTATACAAAATGTTGTAGAATGTTTTTTTATAAAATTGTATCTGATGTATCAAACATTCTATAGAATTAAATAAAGAACTCAGTTTGTCAAAAGAATTATTGGAAAACAGGAATTGTATCTTAGAAATAGGTAATATTGGATATAATATGATTATATAAATTTTTTCATTTTAATGTGCTGAATCCATCAGTGAAGTTATAATATCTGGAAAATTCTATATAATAATAATTTCAATTACAATTAATATTTTTATAAATAGATTTCAACAAAGAATTTCAAAAAGAGAAAAAGTTTTGGAAGGAAGGAGTAATATATCACATGAAGTACATTGTCCACTCTTTCCGGATGTGAAACAAGAATACTGGTGGGTTTACATCTGTGATCGCAAGAGTCAAACTTTACTAACAACTCCTATTTATGTTACATCGTTAGCACACTTTGAAGAAGTTCAGTTAAAATTTACAGCGCCTCGATGGCCAGGTGTTTATACATTTACTGTTTGTTTACGTAGTGATTCCTATCTTGGCTTTGATCAAGCTCAAGATATTAAGGTGTGTGAAATTTTATTTACATAATGCAAACAAAAATTACAGTATTATTGTTATCTTACACATAATGCAAACAAAAATCACAGTATTATTATCTTATAGTTATCTTATAATCATTATAAAAATATTTGTTTATAGTTGGATGTGAAAGAAGCACCAGAAGTACCCACAGAACATCCTCAATGGGATATTTCAGATGAAGAAACTGCAGAAGATGTAGATGCAGCTGATGAACATTCCGAGTATACAACTGATGAAGATATCAGTGACAATGAATAATATCTATTTCTCGTGGAAGATTTGATAAATAGATATTAAAGAAGTTCGCATTTTCCTCTTTTTTTACCTGTCAAGTTAATGTACAATGAACTTTTATACGTGAAATTGCATAATTGTTAATGTATGTGGACAATCTAGAAAAATAGTATAGTGTGTAAGGTTTTTCAGTGAACAGAAAGTAATAGTAAATGAAAATCATATTTATTTTAACGTTGTTGTTTAATCCTCAGTTTAGGATGTATATACAGTTTTTTTAATAAAATAAATTTTAAAATATAATATGGTTTTTTCATGTATATTAATTATTACATTCTAATATATCGATTTTAAAAAAATAATAATAATTGCAAATGTGAAAGAATTGAAAACAAGGGAAAGTGTAACAAAACATTTATCTCTTACATATTCATTCAACCGTGTAATTTTTTATTAAATGTAAAAGTATAAAAACTACTGGTATAGTTTTCTTATAAAATAGTCATTGTCCTACTTCCGTATTGATAACAATGAATCGTAAAGTTTTAAGTATCTTTGTGAGTATAGTTTAATTACAAATTAATCATAAATATATCCATATTTTTATGTATGTGTGTGTGTATATGTATAATATATGATATATATAAGAATTAATTCTGTTATAGATGTTACAAAGTATTTTTGTATACTTATTCCTCTGTGTAATGTTTAAAGTAGGTACGTTAAATAATATTTAAAACAAATTCTTGATAATTTTATTTAAATGTACATTATTTTCAAATTTATTAAATTTTATTATTTATTAAAATAATCTTACAACTTAGAATGTATAAAGAAAAAATAAAAAATGTATTAATCATGTCATAAACTTAGCGATAAAAGTGATACAACCCAAAAAACAATTTTAGAATTATTATTATAAGATTTTTCTTAACTAATTATGAAAATCTTATTCACTTTTATAATTTAGCAGATAAAGAACAATTATGATGTTCTTCCTAATTCATATGACAGTGTGTTATATTCTATAAATATATTTTATTACGTTTTATCCTGATTATTATTATGAACAAATGAGTATTTAATTACATTATATTTTGAATTACATTGTTTTGTTTCTTCTAGAAAACATTATTTCAAACTGTATCACTTTCATCGTACGTATGCGATATATATACATAAATATATGTTATATATATATATTGAATTACTTCATATTAATCATAAACGTAAATACTAAAGATTTCACATAAAGTGTCATGTATGTGGAAATATAAATATAAAATATCTTGAAAAAATTATTTATTATTTTTGCATAACATATGATACTTTACAGAAAAACTTTATTATTTGTCTTAAAGATGAACTATTTAATGGCACTGTATATATTACATATTTATATATTATTATCATGCCTTTTGTTCACAGCCAATTTTAAACCAGCACATAAAATAAAATTTTGTGTTAGTTTAATAAAATATTTTTAATATCTTTTATATTGATAAATAATTGTTTGCAGATTATTCAATATCATCAAATAATATTGGATGGAAAATAAAACAGAAAAATATAATAAATGGTCCTGTTTATACATATCTCAAAACGGACAAAGATGCTAATATTAAATGGGGTGTACGACATTATATTCCAAGAACATCAAGAATCACACAACAATAACATCATGATATGCTGCAGTCATAAATAATTAAATAAATTTCTAAAAATATATTTTATAGAAATATCTTAATCTAAAAATAATAAAATATTATTTAATGATAAAATTTTAAAAATCAAACACTGTTATACTTACATTTTCCAATATATATTTATGGTTCTAAACTAAGTAGTTCCATATACCTATTTTGCATTTCCATTAAAAGATTGTCCAATCTGCCAAAATAAAAAATAAAAATATATTTATGCTTTCATTTCAGATATACTTATTTTTTAAAATGAAAGTCGTAATGAAACATACGTATAACGTATTACTAAGTTATCATATATCACATCATTTTGTCTCATATCTATCATTTCTTGATGTTTAGCATTAGATATATTTAAAGGTTGATTACTATTAAATTCATTTGACATTTCTATATTTGATAGAATGTTTGTAGTTTCATTTTTTAAACATTTTTCATTAGAGATATTATTAAGAGACTGTTGTGTTATATTTTGAAGTTCTTCACAGTACACTCTCTCCATAGCAATAACTGAATTAAAAATCATTTCCAATGTTCGTAGTTCTGATTCTAATTTCGCTACTTGTCTGAAAATATTAATTATATCAATATAAGGTACATTAATTATAATTTAATACATAATATATTTATTGACAATATGCATACTTTATAATTACAAAAATATTGCGAAATTGTGCTCCTTGTATTTTTAAGAATTCAAAAATTAATTTTACTATGTCTGTTGGTCTTGTACCTTTATGAGAATATTCATCTCTATGTAATTCATAAATTTCTGTGACTTTATTATATCTGTCCAAAATTTAAACATAATATTGTATATATTTTTTCAAAACATAAAAGCAAAAAAAAGAATAATATTAAAAATACATGGCAAATTTTAGTATAAATTGAGAACAAAAAGTTTTTTTTATAAGTTTAAGAATAAATCAGAATAAACAATTATTTCAATTGCTTGTTTCTAATTATTTACACATTAATTTGTATTATTAATTATTTTTAAATGTCCATTTATTGCTATGTTTTTAAATAATCATTTGTGTAATTTTCTGAATAATTATTTAATCAATAAATCATTATTGCAAATTATTAAACTTTTTATTCCTTAGAATGTGTATAATCGTGTTGTAAAAAAAATTTTTCATTCTTGTATAGTACCAAAATTCGCCTATTTTTAATATTCCTTACATTTCAAACATATCTTTAATGTAATCAACAGATTTCACTGCATCATTTAATTTACTGCTTTCTTGTATTAGTAAATCAAATTTTAATTTTATTTGATCAGCGGCCTTAACAAGTTTAGTAACCTTTTCATAATTAATTTCCAAAGCTGTTAGCTTCTCCTTATCTATAGATCCTTTCTTCCATTTATTACGAATTGTAGATAGCTCATTTAAAAGCTTATTTATATTTATTAATATATTTGTCATATCTTTATTAAATGTATCAAATCTTGTGATTACCAAATCGCTGAAATATTGATTTTATACGTAAATGAAATTTTAAAATAAACTAATATTAATTTTATATATGAATTGGCAGATTACAATGTGATTAAAAAATTAATAATGTAAAACACTTACACTTTTATAGTTAAGGCAAAAAAAAACAGTCGAAACAAATTTATTTCTTGATTGATAAAAAATATTGTTACTTTGTAATAATCTTGTAATGTTTCAAAATCTAATTGATTTTTTGGCAATTCTATCATTTTTTGAATTTCTAGAGGAATAACTGGCATAGGAATGATCTCTTTTAAAGGACTTCCATTTTTAAAAACGAATAAAACTGAATCCTACGAAAAAATTAGTAATTTAAATTAAAACAAAGCCATATAAAGTAAATTTATATATCGTTTTTTTCTTTTTATTTCATCATAGATTTAACTCTTTAACGACAGAGTATCATTTATGACTTTCATTTTTACAAATATAATATTTTATTGCTAAAATATTTTATATTATTATATGAAGATAATGTCTTCAGAAAAAATGCTATATCTCAAGAAAGAAATAGACAAGAAATTATTTACAAAATTGTCTTAGCATATCTCACAACGACATGTAAAAAAATCAAACAATTTGATATATATAAAGCTAATCGTTGAAGAGTTAATCAGAATATAATAAACAAATAAAAAGCATTATATTATACCTGAATTTGTGATAAAAGTGGTGTTTGATTTTCAATAAGAACTTTACCAAAGTAATCTGTTAAAGTTTGTTGATTTATTGGTATATTAGTATCCTTTTCAATCATAGATTGTAAATCTGTAATTTTAGTAGTACTATCTACTTCATATGCATTAGTTTTATATATCGATGCAGCAAACACATAAACTATCTAAAGAAGTATTCATATTTTAAATAATAATGTATATTTTAATATATGAAAATTTTTATATCAAAATACCTGTTTTGATAGAATAGAATGCAACAATTCAAATACCACTAACTTTGTTACTCCACTTTCATGTTGTTTTCCTCTTTTCTTTGGATCCCATTGTAAAACAACTTTAAACCATTGTACCAACTTACTTCGGAAATTACTAATAAGAAATAAGAAATATAATAAATAAAATTAATATTATTTTGTTATCATTACTATTGATTTGATTATTACTTTGATAAATTTGTAGGACCAACAATATCTTGACCGAAAATTATCTTTCCTTCTGATTTAAAAGCACAGATATCATCATATTTTTTATTTTTAATATGTTGCATCCTACAAAATATAGTTATTGAAAATATTGTAATTGTATGTAATTTTTCATCATTATATAATATACCATGACATAGTATGTTGCATTTTAGGCAGAAATGGTCTTGTTCCAGTGACAAGTTCATAAAAAAGAATACCTAAACTCCAGTAGTCAACAGAACAACTATATGTTAATTTCCATAGTAGTTCTGGAGCTATATAATTTAATGTACCTACTAAAGATCCTGAGTTACTATCTTCTCCAAGTTCTTTCGCATATCCCAAATCTATTAATTTATATGAAATCTGAAATATATTTTATAATTGTTATAAATATATGTGTAATTGTTATTATTTGTTATGATATATGTAATAAAATCTATATTTAAAGCAATATTACTTACAATATTATATTCATCTTGTAGAACTATGTTCTCAGGTTTTAAATCACGATGAGTAATGTTATTAGAATGTAAATATTCTACTGCAGAAGAAATATTTTTCATTACATTAATTGCTTCTTTTTCATTAACACCACAACAATTTTCTCCTTTTTTTAAGATCTATGTTTACAAAATATTGATAATATAAACAAAAATATCATTTCATTAATCAAAGAAAGATAATATATATTTTAAGATTTACCTTTCTTAAATCACCTTTTCTACAAAATTCCATACATAATAAAGGTAAATCTATTTTATCATCTGGATGTTTAAATGGTAACTCTAATCCTTTAACAATATTTGGATGCTTTAAACGTTTCATTATCTGTATTTCATGAATCCATCTTTTGCGTTGTGTTTCTTTTAATTGCCTGATATCTCGTTTACATATCTTAATTGCTATACATAGTTTTCATAAAATAAATATTTATTATTTTCAGAATTCATTTTATATCACTCAAATAATAACTATTTTAATTAGTATTGGTAAATAAAATATTAAGTACTAAGATATTAATTATTGTTTTATTTTCTTTACAGAAAAACTACATACCAATTTTTTTACCACTTTCATGTGTCCAAAGTTCAACAATACCAAATCCTCCAGAACCTAAAATCTTATCTACACTCCACCCTTCAATGTGAATTGGTATAGCAGTCATACTAAATGTTTTGTCTACAAAATTATTTACATTATTGAATATTATAAATTATAAAAAAATAAAATATTATAAATTATTGAATTTAAAACAGTTGAAATTAATTCTTTTTTAAATATTCACAAATGTCAGTTTTATAATAATGCCAAATTGGTCTTATTGGTCCTTTAGAACTATAAAATTTATGTTTGTGTGTTGATTATGTTTGTAACAATAAATTTTTTAAAGAATAAATAAACATGTATGTACACAAATTCACTGTCAACACACATAATAATACATATTAAACAGACTAACAATGTTACCAACATAGAAAAGTTTAAACTTGAAATAAAAATTGAAAATCGTATAAAAATTGAAAAAATTAGAGCAGCCTAATATAATTAAATTAGACAGCTGTTAATATTCTATAAATTTTACTAATAAGTTAATTGCCGTCATTAATTGATAAGTAAGCATGTATAAAAAATTATTTAGCGCTTAATATGTAATAATTAAAAATAATACAATGCTAAATATTTTTTTAATGATATTTTTTTCATAAATAACAAATAATCATATATATTATTATGTTCTATTTAATTATATATTCTACTTAATTATACAAGATACGTATATATATATAATAAAATAGCAAATAATTAATATTTCATAATTAATACTTGAAAGTATATATATATATATATATATATATATATATATATATAAGTATTATAATTCGCAATTTCTTTATTTTCGAAATGTTCAAATATTCTATAAATCCAACATAAATGTTTTTTTTACATATGAACTTAAATATTTGAATTTATAAAAATATAATATTTATATATGTAACATGAATCAATTTTATGAAATATAGAAGTAAAATGATATTTATATTATTGTAAAAACAAATATTTGACATTTTTTTTTTTTTTTAAGTAAAAAATATATATTTAAAATATATTCCTAAAATACATATTTATATTATTAAAATACACATTTAATTAAATAAGATACATAATTCAAAAGAATAACAATTTTCAGTAGTATATATATTTTGGATGCTATTTAAGCCAATGATGGATGGCGCTTTAAGATAGTCCGGTTTTTGAAGAAATATGGCGGATGTTGAGGTGAGTCTGTCACGTGGAAGTTCAGAAACTATATTATTATCGTGTAATTACTAATTCTTTATGATTGATTTTGTTACAGTTAACGAAAGCATTAAAAGATTTACCGAATCGAATTCAAACCGCCAGTAAAAACGAGCGGCGAGTGCTTCTACAAAATGTCGTCAATGTGTTGTCAAATCCTGGTAAGAAATGAAAATACGAATTATATCTTGATAAAGATTTATAACTTTTTAGATTAAAAACATTTGTTAGTGAAAAGAGGAAATTTTTCTGCATCCTATAAATATATTTTGAAATTAATGCATCAAGAAAAATAATATTGAGTAATACAATTTATATACTGAAAGAAATTTTGCTTGAAATTCTACATTTGATAGTTATTTTGATGAATTTTCAAAAAAATTAAATGTGTATATTTTGGAAAGGAAGAGTATTTCCAAAAAATGTTTTCCTTTTTTACTAAAATATGATATCAAAGTTTACCCTTATTTCTTATTTACAATAATGTTATTTTTTTATTATGACACTTACAATTTTTATATACATTGCATCTATAATTTTTAATTTTTCAATTTTTCTCTCAGTTTTAATGTCAATTATAAAAATAGAATTATTATCATAAATATGCATATATATATATATTTTTAATAACGTCATTATGAGGTCATATTGATAGCTTGAGATCATATTGAAGCTTAATATTTTTTTTAAATATTAGAATGTTAGAGATACTTTTATCTGATTCTTTTTGTTAAAACTAAAATTAATTTTTTTATTAAAAGTTAACTCAAATTAATATATCATTTTTGTATTTTTAGGCATCAATGAGAAGATTGTCAATGGAATTTGCAAAACCATGTCTTCTACTTTACATCGATATAAGGATACTGCTTCCCAATCTTACGTGAAAAATTTAATCGAAGAACTGTTAAAAAAACAACCAATACCTACAATAAAACATATGACAAATGTTATTGTAGAACAGGCTACATGGCATAAAAATGTAGTTCCTACGTATGTAGTTATATTAGTTTCTTGAATACATTTATTTTAAAAGTTTGAATTTTATATAGTGTATTAATATTTATAAGTTACTAATAATAAGTTCTTTTGTAGTATGAATACATCTTTAACGGCGTATCTTGCATTAAAATGGTCAACATTAATTGTTCTGCATGGATACAAAAGCAATTCAGATATGAATTCAGAATTACCAAAACTTATTGAAGCACAAGCAAATTTGAGTGCAGCAGCTTTGGCATCCATGAATAAAAAATTAACAAATAAAGTATATGTTTTACTTGCGCACCAATGGTCAAGTGTTAAAGGTATTGATATTGTGTATTTAGAAACACTAACGAAACTGGAAGTTGGAAATGGTGTAATTGTTCTTGCAAGTTTACTGACTATGTATTTAGTTAATGCAAAGAAAAGTGATTTAGTGGTAAAATTAAAGGTAAATTTATATTTGATAACATTTGTGTTAAAAAAATCTGTTTTTATATTAGTAATATTTTTTATTTTTTAACAAACATTAGCAAATAAATATTTGTTTTTCTTTTACAGACAAACACCATAGATGCTTTCATAAAACTAACTATTAGTTGTAAAAAAAAACCAGATCTCTATGTTGTTCATAATGCTGTACCTCTTCTTCGTAGAATATCTCATGATGAATTTAAAAGTCAACTACTACCAGCTTTGCAAAAAGCTATGTTAAGAAATCCAGAAATTATTATCGAATCGGTTGGACATATTTTAAGTGGTTTAAGTCTTGATTTAAGTCAGTATAGTCAAGATATAAGTAAAGGATTATTTGCTAATTTGTATTCAAAGGAAGACTTAGTTAGAGACGAAGCTGTGGGAGCTTGTCGTAGACTTGCTCTTCAATGTTCAGATACTGTTGCTTTGGAAAATTTATTATCATCTGTATTTGCTGTATTTCATGGATCAGAAGGAAAACTTACAGTTGCAACTCACAAAATTTCTGTATTACAAGGTGCTGGCAATCTTAGTTACAATGCAGCTTCAGGAAGTAGTGTTGAAAGATTAGCTGAAACAGCCTGTGAACATTTTATTAAAGTTCTTGAAACTGAAGTTCATGAGAAAACATTAATTCATGCTCTTGAAATGATGGCCTTGTGGTCTAATAAATTTGCGAATAATGTTCCAAAATGTGTAATAGATGCATTTAAAAAAGGTATGACTGCTAAAACTTCAACTGCAGCAGTGCGTACTGCTTACATTAAACTATTCTTTTCTACACCAGTAGTTTCTTATTCTGAAGTAATAACTCCATTGCTTATACAAGCAATAAGCAGAGCTATGCAACAGTCTGCACAACCAGTTGCAGTCACAGAGGGTTTAGTAGCTTCTTATTTGTTACTGAAATTTGTTCTTGCTAATCAAGTGGAAAATGACAAACAAACTGTATTGTGGCATGCGATTGATGAGCAAATATTCTTTTCAGAAAAATTTTTGTCAACTTGTGGAGATGATATATTATATCACCTCATGTTACTTTGTAAAAAACTAATTATTGAATTTGGAGATAAATTAAATGAAAAAACTTTAAATGGTGTTCACAAAGCAATTGTAGCATGTGCAACAGCTCCCAAATATAAAATAAGGAAACGTTGTTTTCCATTAATTAAAAAAGTTTTAACTGGTTTGAGTACATATGATCCTGCACAAGAACTACTAATGGAATATAATAAGTTCTTAGAAAATGTTAAAATTAAATCTGAAAATGATAGTGAAAATAAAGAAGATTCTTCTAATTGCGAGATAACTGGTAGATGTCTCGCAGACGGGTTATTTGCTATTTGTTCAGGTTCTTTTTTATTTGAATTACCTGCTATGCAAATGACAAGAGATGCATTAATACCATCTCATCATCCTGCGATCTATAAAGCAATGCCAAATTTATGGTTTAAAATTGCAAAAAATTTTAATCTTGTACCAAAAAAATTTTTATGTACATTTAATCACGAAATTAAAAAAATACTTGTACAAAATTATAAACCTGTTGCTAGTTATGAGAATGCATTAACAAAAGTGATATCAATTATACCAGATATCATACTACCTGGAATAGTATTTAACATTACAAGTAAACTTGATGATCCAGAGATTTTAAAAGTTACTAAAGACGAATACTTTACTTATCTCACTCCAGAAGGGGAACTATATGATAAAAGTGTATTACCAACAAATGATGAAAATGATATTCTCAATTCAATGAACATGAGAAGAGAAAGCAAAGTGTATTCATTTAAAGAACAGCAAGAAGAATTGCAACTTAGGCGAGAATTATATGAGAAACGAAAAAAGGAAGGAAAAATACAAGAGCCTAAATTAACACCAAAGCAAGAAGAAATCCTTAAAGCACAAATGGCAAAAGAAACTGCAATTCGTAAAAGATTGATGGAATTGAAATTTAGAATAGATATTGTTGTATCTCTAACTATGTGTTCTATACAAGGAAATAGTCAAGAATTGTCAATATACTTAAAAGATTTTCTACCTCTAATTTTGAAAAACTTGGGGTCGCCATTAGCTGCTCCTGCAATGTCTGATCTTTATATTCATTTAAAGGAAATTGTGAAAATGAATAATCCAGTGTTTAGTGATTTAGTAGCACATGTTACATTACGACAATTACAACCACAGTGTGATCTCAATCAAGCTTGGGAAGAAGAAAATCTTGATACTGCAGTAAAAAGAACATTAAATCTTTTACACACAATAACAATAAAACATAAGAAATTATTTACAGCACCAACTTTTTGCTACATCTTTCCATTTGTAAAGAAAACTTTATTATCTTATAAGGATGATAATATGATAGTTCAAGGATTACAAATAATACAAGAGCATGCTAAACAAAGAGGGAGTTCTTCTGATTTCAGAGATACGAAACATCCTCAGTTGCTTCCACGTAAACATATGTTTGATCTATTAATAGAATTAATGGAAATCACAAGTGGCAGAGTACAGTCACATGCAGTTGCAACATTATTAGACATTGCTCAATCCGGTAGTGGTCAATCAGGTACTGCAATTGCAACTAATGAAGATATAGATTCTTTAATTGGAGCATTACAAAATTCTTTATCTACAATAAGAGATGCAGCATTAAGAGCATTAATAGTTGTGAGGCAAGCTTTTCCATCTCAAAAAGAAGATTCTGTACAACTTTCTCATCTTGTTAGAAGAATTTGGATTGCTAAGTTTGATATTTGTGATGAAAATAAAATTCTTGCTAATGAATTATGGAATGCTGCAGATTTAGTAATGCATGCAGATAAGCTTTCTGATGAATTGATTCAAGACATTGCGCATCCTGTAGAACCTGTACAGCAAGCAGCTGCTTGTGCTTTGGCACAATGTTTAACTGAAGTTCTCCATCTAGTACCAATCATTTTGGGTAAATTATTACAATTGTATCAAGAAAAATTAACTATGATTCCACCAAAATTAAACGATTTTGGTCGAGTGGTTGAACAACCTATTGATACTTGGGGTCCACGACGAGGTGTAGCACTTGCATTGGCTCAAATGGCACCTCTTCTTAGTGCCGATACAATACTTAAACTTGTACAATTTTTTGTCTCTACTGGCTTAGGAGATAGAAATCAAGCTGTCCGAACGGAAATGTTAACTGCTGCTGTAGCTGTTGTTGATCTTCATGGAAAAGCAAATATAACTTCTTTGTTACCTGTTTTCGAAGACTTTATGGATAAAGCACCAAAAATTGGTAGTTTCGATTCAATCAAACAATCTGTAGTTATTCTTATGGGATCGTTAGCAAGACACTTGGACAAAGATGACCCACGTATTAAACCGATAGTTATGCGTTTAATTGCTGCTCTTTCCACACCGTCACAGCAAGTGCAGGAAGCAGTAGCTAATTGTTTACCACATTTGGTACCTTCTATTAAAGAAGATGCGCCAAAAATTGTAGATAAATTAATGGATCAATTATTAAAATCAGACAAATATGGAGAACGGAAAGGCGCAGCTTATGGTTTAGCAGGCATAATTAAGGGTATGGGAATATTGGCACTAAAGCAACTTGATATCATGACTACATTAACTAATGCCATTCAGGATAAAAAAAACTATAGGCATCGAGAAGGAGCATTATTTGCTTTCGAAATGTTATGTACAATGCTTGGTAGGTTATTTGAACCATACATTGTTCATGTATTACCACATTTGTTGCTGTGTTTTGGAGATTCAAGTCAATATGTCAGAGCGGCTACTGATGATACAGCTCGTGTAGTTATGAGTAAACTATCTGCACACGGTGTAAAACTTGTTTTACCTAGTTTATTAGCAGCATTAGAAGAAGATTCTTGGAGGACTAAAACTGGTAAATATTAATATTATTTAAATTAATAATTATGTTATGTTTTACATAATTTTATTTCTCTTTTTTAAGGATCTGTTGAATTATTGGGTGCAATGGCATATTGTGCACCAAAACAACTTAGTAGCTGTTTGCCAAGTATAGTTCCAAAACTAATCGAAGTACTTAGCGATTCACATACAAAAGTTCAAGAGGCAGGTGCAGAAGCTCTTAAAGTTATTGGAAGTGTAATTCGTAATCCGGAGATTCAAGCTATTGTGCCAGTTTTATTAAAAGCTTTACAAGATCCTTCTCATAAAACAGCTACTTGTCTCCAAACTCTTTTAGATACTCAGTTTGTACATTTTATCGATGCTCCATCATTAGCTCTTATTATGCCTGTAGTACAACGAGCGTTTTTGGATCGTTCAACAGAAACAAGAAAAATGGCAGCTCAAATTATTGGAAATATGTATTCTTTAACTGATCAAAAAGATTTAACTCCATATTTGCCAACCATTATTCCTGGTTTAAAAACGAGTTTATTAGATCCGGTACCAGAAGTACGAAGTGTATCTGCAAGAGCATTAGGTGCTATGGTACGAGGAATGGGTGAATCTAGCTTTGAAGATTTACTTCCGTGGTTAATGCAAACGCTTACATCTGAAACGAGTAGCGTTGATCGGTCAGGTGCTGCACAAGGTCTTTCGGAAGTTGTGAGGGGATTAGGCGTTGAAAAACTTCATAAACTTATGCCTGAAATTATTAGTACCGCAGAAAGAACTGATATAGCTCCTCATGTCAAGGATGGTTATATTATGATGTTTATTTACATGCCAAGTGCATTTACCACAGAATTTACACCTTATATTGGACAAATCATTAATCCTATTTTGAAAGCTTTAGCTGATGA